TTTAGTCTATTTTGCATTATTCTACTTGTTACTTTTGCATTTAACTATTTTTTTTTTGGATCTTTTCATAAAACAAATGGATTTTTTCTAGCTTGCCGAATCAACAATTGGTCACACCTTTCAAAGGTACCCCGATTTCGAATTCAGTTTTCTTGTTTTTTTTTTAATTATTTGCAGAGTACACATTTTTTTTCAGCATTTCATTAATTTTGTAATTTCTTTCATAGATTCACCTTTCTTTCTTAAATTTAAGATATCTCGTTTCATTTCTGTATAATGACTCTTACGACCCATTCTGATGAAGATCACAAGAGTATTAGTTACTACTATTGCTGTTTACAAACTTTTAAATACCACCGGCGTCAAATAAATTAACTTTGCCAGAATTGTTTTTATAATAAAATATGTACCTATTTCTATTTTTTTTTTCCAACCCAAAACTGCCGAAATAGGTGTAACAGCAAAAGTAAATTAAAGTATCTCATCAAAATAACATATTCAGTGGACTACATGCATATAACATTTCAAAAAAATAAAATATACTCCTTGAAGTAGTACAAACCTTCTCGTTTCTATTATTTTTCCACCACTGTATGTATGTATATTCAACTAAATTATATAAGTTAAAATTTATACACAATATAAATTATAAAAATATATGTATATGACTTAATTTGTACTTTATAGATGTGACGATAATTAGTTTTTATAGTTATTGGCAACTTTTTCTGGAATTAATTACACATTAAGCACACATTTTGGTCCTTAACATGATTTGCATCCTATTCCTTCTTGAAACTTCGTTCTTTTCACTGCATAGTACTGCACTCGTCGATACGAACAAAGTGTTTGCTCGATAAAAACTAAAGTTTATATGAAAAATTTGCGAATACGTTAAGGATGGTCACATTTAAATAAGTTCTGCTTGATTTTTTTGTACTAAATCGGCTATTAACTGATATGGAATAATATGCTGGGAACCCGCTGCGAAATCAACTTCTTCATCATCTACGCCAACTACCACAGATGGTACTAAAATAAAAAGGAACGTATGAAAAAAAACTATTTTAAATTTTTTTATACGCAAATACTAACTTACCAGATACTTTAGCTTTAACAAAAACATGGCTCATTACATTTGGCCGCACTATACGCTGTTCGGCATCGGAACGTTGCATATTTGGCATATATTGCAGCGCCACTTGATTAAAATAATTTTCGGTGTTATCATGCAATTCTTGTGCGAATTTAGTTTCTTCGGGTGATAACCGCTTGTTATCAGTGTCATAATTAGCTTCTTCATTTAGTATATGACGAGTATAGGTTTCTATTTTTTGTAAGCGGCAACGCAAATAGCTGGCCATAACGTATCTAATTCGTTCCAATTCCATACGATGCGTTATATACCGAAAATCATTTTTATCTAAGTCTTTCATATTTTCTTCCATATGCACCACTTGACCCATCATTAATTCCAACATATCACTTTGGTGTGGCAAAATTTCAGGTGCATTTAGTTCATTGCGCCAAGATGTTTCTAAAAATTCAAGCACCTTTTGTTAAAGGAGCGTAAAATATATTTAAGTTTTTTTTTGTAACTAACCAAAACCTTACCTTTTGTGCTGTAATCAATTCTTCTTCATCCTCTTCAACACCTAATTGTATATCTTCCAAATCTTGCTCAGACATTTTGTTGATCAAAGTAAAAAATTGTCAACAATCTTTCAAAGCCAAAAACAACAAAATGCGCGCCTGATGTAATTATTTGCACTTTCCTACAGTTTTATACAAGCTTAAAACAACCCTGAACAGAAACACCAACAAAAACAACAGTGTTGTTGTCGCGATTCACGTGCGAGGCACTTTTGACATTTGTTTTGAATCCAAGCAGAGCAAAGATGTCACAGGTTGACGAATTCCAACGAAATTTTCGTTTAATTGTTGAAAAGATTTTTAATAGTTGGCAAAATTTACGTTTAGCGGTAGAACATGGCATGGGCGGACGTAATGGTCAACAGGTAATAGTCGTAATTCATGTACCTGTTAAGACGTACTTTATATAAATAAATAATTATAGGTAGCAATACAAATAATGGACTACACTTACCAATATTGCGTTGGTAATGAAAATATTACACAAGGTGAGCTCCAAGCTGTTATAGAGGAATTGATGGATCAAGAATTCAATACGCTGTGTGATGACAATTCTATACAAGGTACATTTTGTAAACCAATTAAGTGGGATTTTAATACAATCATTCATTATCTCCCTAGAAATCTCGCGTAATTTATTACGCTATAAACAGATGTGTCTACAGAACCAATACCAAAGTGTCGAAAATGAGTTGAAAAAATTGCCAAATTGTAAAGAATGGTTACGAAATGATGTCAAAATTGCATACACTCCCATAGCGGGTGAAGACTCTTCCACTGATGAAGATGATGGCAGCTCCGATGAGGGAGAAATGGATATCGATGACTCTGACGACAATGAAGCAGCCACATCTAGCCGGGTGACACGGTCTCAAACTCGCAAACAGCAAGACGATTTTGTGGAACCAGAACTTGGCTGGACAACTGTACGCAGTAAACGTAAATAAAGCAAAAATACCTAAATAAAAACATCTGATAGATATTGTATTAAAAAGTCGGGAAACACTAATACCATAATACTATAACTTTTATATCATTACAGCAACTGATAAAACTAATACTTAAATAAAAATAATTTATATAAAAGAAAGATATTTTTTAATATATGTTATATTTATAGACACTATAAATGATATACCGTGATGCAAGTGTAAAATAAGCCATGTTGTGACAGGTTTTTATAAATAATCTACTTATTTTTACTCTCTAAAGAGAATAGTGTCAATAGTTACCAAAACTTCGGTACAGCAGGAACCGTTGAAAAACAATTGTTTTACGCTAATTACACTCTTATTTCGACAACGGTGCTATAATGTAACTATTATTACGGATGGTTAGTCTCCAAATGTCGACTTATAAACAAATAAGAAGAGCAATCCTCTGAGTTTCAAGCTTATAATTATTCTGATTATTAGATTAAAATATGCATAACAAAGAAAGAAACAAAGAAGCGTGATCCGCTACAGCACAACAAAAAATTTAAACGTCAGTAGTTCACTGAGTGGACTGAGTTTAAAAAGAGTAGAACCACTTACATGATTACAAAGAAGCATTGAAGAAGACATGTACAGCGGGAGCGGGTGTAAGTTCAAAGATTAACCATTGACGTATAGAGCGCAAATTTAAAGACAGCTTTAGCTCACGCCAAGCTGTAAA